GTGGCTTGGGCGTTTCTTCCGCTCATCTACTCGCTTTACCCGCTTTCTTAGCCTCAGCAGTAGGAGCGAAAGATGCCTTGAGCGAAATCTTTGGTTTGGAGCATGTGGATGGAACCTATGATGATGCGCTTAAACAGTGGTTTGACCTTAGAAAAATTGAAATGGCTCCGGAAAATGAAAGCCAAAAAAATTGGACGGAGCCAGTTTTTTTGACAGCGAAATTGCAGACTTGATTTTACGACTCGAAGCAACGGACGTAAAAAGGTTCAACGCGTTCCAAGATAGATTTGGCTCCCAATGGTTGAACGTCATCCCGTGCAAAAATTTAAGGTTAAAACTGTCGAACCAACAACTCAGAATTGCGATAGGACTTCGATTAGGATCAAAAGTATGCGAACGGCATAAATGCGTGTGCGGAAAAGACGTTACCGAGGATGGTTGGCATGGTTTTTCTTGCCTCAAAAGTGCAGGGAGAGTCTCTAGGCATCAAACCTGAATGCCCTTATAAAGCAGAGTCTATCATCTACTCACATTCTGTCTGTTTTAGAACCACGGCACCTCTACAGGACCGATCAGAAGCGACCAGACGGTGTGACGCTCGTTCCATGGGCTGATGGTAAGCAGCTCTTGTGGGATGTAACGGTAGTAGACTCCTTAGCTCCTTGTAGGATTAATGTCGGGTCTCTTTGTAACCCTGGTACGGCTGCCGCTGAAGCGGAAGAGCGAAAAACTGACAAGTATAGAGATCTTGTAAATGATGGATATCTTTTTCAACCGCTAGCTTTTGAAATTCAGGGCGCGGACGGCCCCAGCACAGAAGTTTTTTTGAGCAAGCTTTGTAAGAACCTACGCATATGCACTGAGGAACCCAGAGCAGGCAGTTTTTTCAAACAGAGAATCTCCCTGGCAATACAGATTGCGAACGCCGCTTGCATACTCGGAACAATAAATGACTAAATAACTTTCGACGAAATTTTTTACTTGTAACACTTGTATATTATATTATCTCGTGTCGAGTTGCGTGTTCTTTTTGAAGAAACGTAACCCGTATTGACTTAAACACTTGTCATCTTCTTTTATCATTATCACTTCCATATCTAGAAAACTCCAAGGATTTTGACTGGAATACATGATGAAGGGACTCATGACAGTAACCTCGGTTACTATGATACTTTTGACCTTCTGATTACCTCAGAGAGCAACTACCGTCTTACGATCTGACCTCTGTGGGGACTTCTGTGGGAGGAGTAGAGATAACCTTTGAAACTCGGTCTAAGGGTTCTTTGAAGCGTCTCTACTAGTGGGACCTTTCGACTCTGTAATCAATCCTTACAACCGAAGATCCTTACATCCTTCTTAGAGGAAGAGTCGAGGACACGTTTTCTTGTGGATCGTTTTTTATGTTCCTAGAAACTTGTTCATCAGTTCCACTCGACGTGTGATAACCAACTCACTAAACAGATAGAACAAGCAAAAGAAATTTTTTGAAGAAAGTACGCACCCAACCGTACAATTAGATGTCGGCTATACTCTTAGTTACTTGATAACACGAAAATAAAAGAATGAGCTTAAGGGGATTTTGTATTTCGAATTGGGAAGGAATCTAGCCGGAGAAAAAGTTGAACGTTGTAGTAGCCCTCCGAATAGCTGAAAGATAGTAGTAAAGACATTGAATGAAAAAAGAGTTTTTTTCTTGGAAAGTTGGGAGATCTTTGGATAGTTTTTTTTTAAAAATTTCATCGGACCTGAAGCAAATCTTTAAATAAGGTAACAAAGCAAAATCTAATGACAAGCAAGTTTTTTCATTAGTTCTACCGGCAGCCAAAGGTGGCCTGGGTGATCGTTCTGCTCGCCTAGGAACTTCGTCTGCTTTTTAGCCACAGCACTAGGAGCGAAAGCTACCTTAAGCAAAGTCTTTGTTTGGAGGTGGAGGGTGGAACATATGATGTATTGAAACTTCGGTTTGATTCAGCTAAATGTAACGTAGCTCTGGAAATTAATTATAAGAAATTTAAAATGTTAATCCATATGTTTTCGCACATTTTGTGCATCACTCAGGATAAAATTTTTTAAAAAAAAATTTACAAAACGATGAAAGATCTCAAAAATGAGAAACATGTCTAATATGCTCTGAGTCTTTTTGACCAATCAAATTTAAGCAACTGTAATTACATAATAAATTACGTAATCATTAGTAACATTTTCGTGTAAATTTCTGAGATTTTTTTAGGTTTCTGTTCTTTCATGGTTATAAAATTTCGATTTGGGAATATTTTTGATTCTGACATGTCAGTTTTTTAACTTTTAGACATCGACCCTTGTGGCTAAATGTTGGACTGTCTGGCCGACATAGGTGAAGTTACATCAACTACATGCAAGCTTATACGCCACTTTGGTTCTCAGTTCACGAGCAAAGGAAGTTTTCAGGGATGGCAAGCAAGTTTTTTTTTCTTGTTGTAAAAACTATTTGTGCCCCGGATATTTGCCGAACCTTTGCAGCTAACAGTTGAGATGGATTGCCTCGATATTGCATTGTAAAAAGGGGGTGAGTCTTCCAACCGTTTATCTTTTCTCGGTTCTGATGCCTTAACCTCTAAACTTTTCTTTCCCTAAATGATCTTGTTAAGAGTTTCAAACACGGATTTTGATTTTCAATCCTTTGTTTCCAATTTTTTCCCAATGCCTGGTCAAAACTTTCCCATTTTGAGGTACTTCTGAAAACCCTATGAACCGTCCCTTCAATAACGTTTCTTTTGTACTGCAAAGGTGCGCAACCTCTGAAATTTAGAATGGCACCGGTATCAGTGGGTTTTTGGTACCACCCACATGTGACTTTTTTTCCTGAGTTCACGCTGACCTTTAAATCCAAAAAGGCCAAATTATCGTTACTATCAAGTTCTTCTATGGTGAACTGCAAGTTTGGATGCAACTTATTGGCAGCCTCGAGAACTAACCCAGGATTGCCCTTGACAGTTCTAACTATCGACCACAGTCGTCCACATATCTTATAAAAACTTTAACACCATTCTCAGACCGATCTGCTTCCTGTTGTTTTTTGCAAGTAATACAAAACCATACTGTTTCAGCGATAACTGCGTATTCGGATTCCGATATGTTACCTGAAAATTAGGATCAAAATTCTGAAAATTAGTTTCAAAAAAGTTAGACGGAGCCCGTTTTTGATTATGAAAATTCTCAAATGATTTAATGCTTAACAGGATAATTTCGGATCACAATGTTTGAATGTCTTGTTGTGTGTAAAAATCTAAGGGTAAAATTGACAAATCAGCAGCTTAGAATCGATATCTGACTACGCGTAAGTTCAGAATTTTGTAGAAAATTATTCGTTTGGTAAAGATGAAAACTGCAGTGAGATTCTTTAGGCTTTCATATTTGAATGCCCCTATGAAGCAAGGTTTTATCCGCCACTCTCATTCCTTCTCTTTTAGAGCCACGATGCCTCCACAGGACATATCAGAAGCGACCAGACGGTTTGACGCTCGTCCCCTGCTCCCTAGCCCTTAGTTGAATAAGAGCAGGCTCGGTTTGTAACCCCGGAACGGCGGCGGCCGAAGCGTAATATTGCAGAACTTAGAGATGTAATTAATGGTGGATCTATTATTTAACCAAAAGCTTTTGAAATTCAAATTTTTCTTAGATAGCTATGCAAAAACTTGAGCCCAAGTAGAGATCAACTCAGGGCAGGTAGTTTGTAAAGCAGAGAACTCCCTCGCTTTATTGATGATAAAAACTTCTTTCGAAGAAATTTTTTTATTTGTTGAGACAACGGAATAAAAGCGTCATTTAGAATAAGTATCTGATTGACATGCAGCCTCATATCAGGTCAATCTTTTCGAGTTTCTTTCAACCCCGGTTTATTATTTCCAGGTGTTAGTTTTTTTCAATCTGATTGGCTTGATTCCCATGGTTTGCATGGTTTTTTGAATGTATGAAATGATTAACGACTGGTGATGTAACTTCTGTTGCCTGTCGATCTTGACTTTATATTTTTGTTTTTATTTTTGCCATAATTTACTTAATGGAATTAATTCTATCATCATCATCATTGTTTCTGACCTTCTAATTTATATCAGGTTGTGAGGTAGAACTTGGATTAGATTACCACCTTGCCGAGATTTGTCAACAGTTTAGAAGTACCAGCAAGCGAAAAATTTATAAACCACCTGCGATTTTTAACGGTGTCAAAAGACTTCAGAAAAAAGACCTGCACAATTATAGGAATTTGAGACTCCAAAATATTCCGAAGGTGACACTTATTTTAAGGTAATTTTCCTCAAAATAGTTTTAGCTTACTTTTCAGTAAACGATGAACGTTAACTTCATTTTAGTTTTCTGATGTTTTTTGGTTTAAGTATTTCTTGTTTTTAGAAAAAACGATGGCAACACAAAATAGTTCGTTAAATGTTCAGTTTGAAAACTGCTTTGCGGCTGTGAACCGATCGCCAAATTGCCTTAAATGGGTGAGCGGTAATCATTTTGTGACAGCTGCACATCGAACTGTTGTGTTGTACGAAGTCGGTTGTAGTATTCTGAATTATTCAAAAGCTCTCTTCAACTTAAACGGTCATGATTTTGTTATTAGTTGTCTTGAAACCTTAGTTTTTTACGAATCCGTTGTAATTGCTACTGGTGATAAAAAAGGGAACGTTATTCTATGGAAACTATCCAAAGACGGCGTAAAATGGAGTTACGGTTCTTGTACTTCGCTGAAAAATATTCACACTATGTCTATCAACTGCATCAAGCTTTTATCTACTTCTGGAGGTTTTATTACCCTTTCTTGCGGAGACAACCAAGTAAAATTTTCGTCTGTTAAATTTTTGAGCTCTTCAAACTCCGAATTTACGTTAAGCTCTTCATCAGAAATCGATCTTAAGCAAGGTATTGCGTTTCAAATTGATGCTATTGTTACGAATGATGGCTCTTTATTTGTGTTTGCTGCGCTAGATGATTGTTGTTTGCACATTTACCTTTCGGAAATGGCTTCATTAGGTTCAGATTTAAGTAAGACGAATTTCAATGAAGTTTTCAAAAGCGAACCATTTGGAGATTGGATTCGTGGAATCTCACTGATTTATCTGCCTGAGTCCAGCTCAGATTTTCTCGCCAGTGACGTCATATTGGTCGCCGTTGGAAGTCAGGATAACCTTGTTCAAATTTTTGGAGTTTACAAAAACGACAGGGATGGATCTCTTGATGACACTGAGTCTTCGCTTAGAAAGACTCAGATTGTAAATTTAGAAAAAAAGACTCTTTGGAATATTTACCCCGAATCAATTTTGAGCGCTCATACTGACAAGGTAAGAAATGATATACAATGTTTAACTAAACATAAATTGTTAAGTGGAAGATTGGAATTAAATCAACTCATCAGCAAAGCTGATTTGCTTTAGGTGTTCTCAGTGCAATTTCTGAACTACAAATTTTCACAAAGAGAAATTGCCCTCCTTTCCTCCAGTTTTGACCGCTCTGTAGTTTTATGGTCTTTCACGTTAGTAGATGCTCAGACTGGGCTGTGTAATCTCGGTGTGAATGGAGGTGAGAGTAACTTGTCTTCGAATGCTGTGTGGGAAGACGTGATGCGAGTAGGGGACGTTGGAGGAAATGATTTAGGTAAAACATGATTTCATCTATCTATCTATCTATCTATCTATCTTCTATCTATCTATCTATCTATCTATCTATCTATCTATCTATCTATCTTCTATCTATCTTCTATCTATTATTTAATTGGCGTTTCACGTGACACATGTTTAAGAAGTCCCTATTTTGACGTGTTAAAGAAGTCCCTATTTTTGCATGTTTAAGTTTTTTCAACGTATTATTTTTTGCATATTTAACGAAAATGTTTTTGCTCGTTTAAGCTATACCGTAGGTTAAAATGCTTAAGAAATTTCATTTGGCTCATGTTTAAGTCTGTTGGTCTGTTAAAAGGGCGAAAAATTGCAAGATTTGAAAATTTTATATATATACATACGTTCTATACATTCCTATATAGTGGGGTGCTGTTAAGTACATTTGGGCGTTGCAAATCTGGCGTCCAATTATGACTGCTAAAATCCTTTTATTTTTCGAGATATGGCGTTTTTATGTTTTTTTTTTAGTTTTTTTTTTTCAAAAAACTTAGATATTTAAAACTAGCCGAACTTCAATTTCTCAACCCTATTTTGAGGTGCTGTCAGGGTACATTCAGGGGTTGCAAATCTGGCGTCCAAGTATGACTGCTCAAATCTTTTTGGTTTTCGAGATATTGCGTTTTTTATAATTTTTTCATTTTTTTTTCAAAAAAACTTAGATATAGAAAAATTAACCGAACTTCAATTTCTCAACCCTATAGTGGGGTGGTGTCAGGGTACATTCAGAACTGCAAATCTGGAGTCCAACTATGACTGCTCAAATCCTTTTGGTTTTTGAGATATGGCGTTTTTTATGATTTTTTCATGTTTTTTTTTCTTCAAAAAACTTAGATATAAAAAAATTAGATACAAAAAAGTAAGCGAGCTTTAATTTCTCAACCCTATAGTGGGGTGCTGTCAGGGTATACTCAGGAGTTGCAAATCTGGCGTCCAAGTGTGACTGCTCAAATTCTTTTGGTTTTCGAGAAATTGCGTTTTTTGTGATTTTTTCCTTTTTTTCAAAAATCTTAGATATAAAAAAAATTAAGCGAACATCATTTTCTCAACCCTATAGTGGGTGCTGTCTGGGTAAGATCAGGGTTGGCAAATCTGGAGTCCCGGTATGACTGCTCAAATCCCTTTGGTTTTCGAGAAATTGCGTTTTCTATGATTTTTTTATTCATTTTTTTAAATCAAAAAACAGATATAAAAAAACCGAACTTCAATTTCTCAACTCTATCTCGTGGGGTGCTGTCAAATTACGTTCAGGGGTTGCGAATCTGTAGTCTAAGTATAACTGCTCACATCTTTTTGGTTCTCGAGAAATGGTGTTTTTATTATTTTTTTGATTTTGTTTTCAAAAATCTTAGATATAAAAAAAATTAACCGAACTTCAATTTCTCAACCTTATAGTGGGGTGCTGTCAGGGTAAATTCAGAAGTTGCAAATCTGGAGTCCAACTATGACTGCTCAAATCCTTTTGGTTTTTGAGATATGGCGTTTTTTATGATTTTTTCATGTTTTTTTTTTCAAAAAACTTAGATATAGAAAAATTAACCGAACTTCAATTTCTCAACCCTATAGTGGGGTGGTGTCAGGGTACATTCAGAAGTTGCAAATCTGGAGTCCAACTATGACTGCTCAAATCCTTTTGGTTTTTGAGATATGGCGTTTTTTATGATTTTTTCATGTTTTTTTTTCTTCAAAAAACTTAGATATAAAAAAATTAGATACAAAAAAGTAAGTGAACTTTAATTTCTCAACCCTATAGTGGGGTGCTGTCAGGGTATACTCAGGAGTTGCAAATCTGGCGTCCAAATGTGACTGCTCAAATTCTTTTGGTTTTCGAGAAATTGCGTTTTTTGTGATTTTTTCCTTTTTTTCAAAAATCTTAGATATAAAAAAAATTAAGCGAACATCATTTTCTCAACCCTATAGTGGATGCTGTCTGGGTAAGATCAGGGTTGGCAAATCTGGAGTCCCGGTTTGACTGCTCAAATCCCTTTGGTTTTCGAGAAATTGCGTTTTCTATGATTTTTTTATTCATTTTTTTTAAATCAAAAAACAGATATAAAAAAACCGAACTTCAATTTCTCAACTCTATCTCGTTTTGTGCTGTCAAATTACGTTCAGGGGTTGCAAATCTGTAGTCTAAGTATAACTGCTCAAATCTTTTTGGTTCTCGAGAAATGGTGTTTTTATTATTTTTTTGATTTTGTTTTCAAAAATCTTAGATATAAAAAAAATTAACCGAACTTCAATTTCTCAACCTTATAGTGGGGTGCTGTCAGGGTAAATTCAGGGGTTGCAAATCTGTAGTCTAAGTATAACTGCTCAAATCTTTTTGTTTCTCGAGAAATGGTGTTTTTATGATTTTTATGATTTTGTTTTCAAAAAAACTTAGATATAGAAAAATTAACCGAACTTCAATTTCTCAACCCTATAGTGGGGTGGGGTCAGGGTACATTCAGAAGTTGCTAATCTGGAGTCCAACTATGACTGCTCAAATCCTTTTGGTTTTTGAGATATGGCGTTTTTTATGATTTTTTCATGTTTTTTTTTTTCAAAAAACTTAGATATAGAAAAATTAGATACAAAAAAGTAAGCGAGCTTTAATTTCTCAACCCTATAGTAGGGTGCTGTCAGGGTATACTCAGGAGTTGCAAATCTGGCGTCCAAGTGTGACTGCTCAAATTCTTTTGGCTTTCGAGAAATTGCGTTTTTTGTGATTTTTTCCTTTTTTTTCAAAAATCTTAGATATAAAAAAAATTAAGCGAACATCATTTTCTCAACCCTATAGTGGGTGCTGTCTGGGTAAGATCAGGGTTGGCAAATCTGGAGTCACGGTATGACTGCTCAAATCCCTTTGGTTTTCGAGAAATTGCGTTTTCTATGATTTTTTTATTCATTATTTTTTTTAAATCAAAAAACAGATATAAAAAAACCGAACTTCAATTTCTCAACTCTATCTCGTGGGGTGCTGTCAAATTACGTTCAGGGGTTGCAAATCTGTAGTCTAAGTATAACTGCTCAAATCTTTTTGGTTCTCGAGAAATGGTGTTTTTATTATTTTTTTGATTTTGTTTTCAAAAATCTTAGATATAAAAAAAATTAACCGAACTTCAATTTCTCAACCTTATAGTGGGGTGCTGTCAGGGTAAATTCAGGGGTTGCAAATCTGTAGTCTAAGTATAACTGCTCAAATCTTTTTGTTTCTCGAGAAATGGTGTTTTTATGATTTTTATGATTTTGTTTTCAAAAAAACTTAGATATAGAAAAATTAACCGAACTTCAATTTCTCAACCCTATAGTGGGGTGGGGTCAGGGTACATTCAGAAGTTGCTAATCTGGAGTCCAACTATGACTGCTCAAATCCTTTTGGTTTTTGAGATATGGCGTTTTTTATGATTTTTTCATGTTTTTTTTTTTCAAAAAACTTAGATATAGAAAAATTAGATACAAAAAAGTAAGCGAGCTTTAATTTCTCAACCCTATAGTAGGGTGCTGTCAGGGTATACTCAGGAGTTGCAAATCTGGCGTCCAAGTGTGACTGCTCAAATTCTTTTGGCTTTCGAGAAATTGCGTTTTTTGTGATTTTTTCCTTTTTTTTCAAAAATCTTAGATATAAAAAAAATTAAGCGAACATCATTTTCTCAACCCTATAGTGGGTGCTGTCTGGGTAAGATCAGGGTTGGCAAATCTGGAGTCACGGTATGACTGCTCAAATCCCTTTGGTTTTCGAGAAATTGCGTTTTCTATGATTTTTTTATTCATTATTTTTTTTAAATCAAAAAACAGATATAAAAAAACCGAACTTCAATTTCTCAACTCTATCTCGTGGGGTGCTGTCAAATTACGTTCAGGGGTTGCAAATCTGTAGTCTAAGTATAACTGCTCAAATCTTTTTGGTTCTCGAGAAATGGTGTTTTTTATGATTTTTTCATTTGTTTTTTCAAAAAACTTAGATGTAAAAAAAATTAACCGAACTTCAATTTCTCAACCTTATAGTGGGGTGCTGTCAGGGTAAATTCAGGGTTGCAAATCTGGAGTCTAAGGATAACTGCTCAAATCCTTTTGGTTTTCGAGAAATTGCGTTTTTTATGATTTTTTCATTTGTTTTTTCAAAAAACTTAGATGTAAAAAAAATTAACCGAACTTCAATTTCTCAACCTTATAGTGGGGTGCTTTCAGGGTACATTCAGGGGTTGCAAATCTGGCGTCCAAGTCTGACTGCTCAAATCTATTTGGTTTTCGAGAAATTGCTTTTTTTATGTTTTTTTCTTTTGTTTTTTCAAAAAAACTTAGATGTGAAAAAAATTAACCGAACTTCAATTTCTCAACCCTATAGTGGGGTGCTTTCAGGGTATATTCAGGGGTTGCCAATTCGGAGTATAAATTTGACTGCTCAATTTCTTTTTGGTTTTCGAGAAATGGCGTTTTTTATGATTTTTTTCATGTTTTTTTTTCTTCAAAAAACAGATTTAAAAAAACTAACCGAACTTGAACTTTTCAACCTTATAGTGGGTTGCTGTCAGGGTACAGTCAGGTGTTGCAAATCTGGAGTCCAAGTATGACTGCTCAAATTCTTTTGGATATCGAGAATTGGCGTCTTTTATGATTTTTCCATTTTTTTTTTCAAAAAAATTAGATATAAAAAAACTAAATAAAAAAACACTCCGAACTTCAATTTCTCATTCTTTAGTGGGTTGCTGTCAGGGTACACTCAGGGGTTGCAAATCTGGAGTGCAAGAATGACTGCTTAAATCCTTTTGTTTTTCTAGAATTTTGGTTTGTCTGTTTTCTGAAGACTTGGTTTTGTAGCAGCGGAGGTGCGATTGACGCGCTAGTAATAAGTAAAAGTAGGATTTTCTTTCAAATGTGGCAAATTTTTACCTTGCGATTAGCAAAGATATAGCAACTGAATACTAAGACCTTTTTCTCATTAAAAACTGAAATCACATGAATCTTTTAGTGGACTCCTCTGCTTACTTTAATAGG